TCCATCCATCCATCCATCCATCCATCCATCCCAGATTTCTGTCTCCTCCTGCCCATGATGGACCAACCTCATCCGCCAGGAACCGCAGCTTCTGCAGGAAGTTCTGCACCAGCTTCAGCTTGTCCTTCATGGTGTTCCTCTTGACCTGGGAGCGCAGGGTTGTGGCCTGCTGGGCCATGTTCTCCTGCAGGGACACGGGAAGGACACCTCAATGCCACCACAGCGGGGTGGACACCTTCGATCACCTCCTGTGGGCTGACCTTGGCGTGGGAGGGCTCTGAGAGGGCAGAGACGCCCAGGAGAAGGTGACCCCACAAAGGTGTCACCTGAGCTTGGGGAATTKAGGGGTGGCTTAGGGAAGGTGCTGCTCCTGCTGTTTCCCAGCACCTGGCCCTGGGATTTTCCACGTGAACGTGTGGAATTTAACAATTCCAGGTTTTCTGGGATGCAGCTGAAGTTGGTGTCCTTGGCTGTGCCAGCTGGAGAAGCCACCGGGTCCTTGTCCATCTCTCCTGCCCATCCTTGGCTGGACCAGGGCCACCATCCCCAGACCCCTGTCCCTGGGTTCCTAAAGACCCCCAAACTTCTGGGGGCACCTCTGCCCGGTAGGGTTTCCCAAATTCCCCTCAAACTTCTGTCCCTTGAGYGGCTCTGCCCTGCAGGTTCCCCAAATTCCCCCCAACTTCTGTCCCTGGGGCATCTCTGCCCTGCAAGTTCCCCAAATTCCACCCAAACCTCTGTCCCTGGGGCAGCCCTGTAGGGTTCCCAAAATTTCCCCCAAACTTCTGTCCCTTGGGCAGCTCTGCTCTGCAGGGTCCCCAAAACCCCAAAACCTCTGTCCCTGGGGCAGCCCTGCAGATTTCCCTAAATTTCCCCAAACCTCTGTCCCTGGAGCAGCCCTGTAGGGTCCCTAAAATCCCCAGACCTCTGTCCCTGGGGCAGCTCTGCAGGATTCCCCAAATCCCCCCAAACCTCTATCCCTGGGGCAGCCCCGTAGGGTCCCTAAATTCCCCCAAACCTCTGTCCCTGTGGGTCGAGGGTTTGGGGTTGGATCCTGAGCAGAGGAGCCCGAATCCCATTCGGGTCCCACTGCGGTCCYGCTCGGGTCTGCGCTGCTTCCCCTCCTCCAGACTCCGGAAAGAAATTTGGGATCGCAGAGGGGCTGGGAGGGGGAATTTGGGGACCCTGCAGGGCGGAGCTGTCCCAGGGACAGAGGTTTGGGTAGAATTTGGGGACCCTACAGGGCTGCTCCAGGGACAGAGGTTTTGGGGGAATTTGGGGAATCCTGCAGAGCTGCCCCAGGGACAGAAGTTTGGGGGAACAGGAGGGACAGGAACCCAGTGAATCCATGGACCAAATGCCAGCCCTGCCCAGGGATCCTCCCAAAGCCTCCCTGAACACCCTGTGCCAGCCCCTCCCACCCTCCCAGMYGGGAATTCCTTCCCAAWATCCCAYCCATCCCTGCCCTCTGGCASTGTGACCCYATTCCCTGTGTCCTGTCYCTYCATCCCTCRTTCCCAGTCCCTCTCCAGCTCTCCTGGAGCCTTTTTAGGATCCACTCCCACTCACCAGCTCCCTCATGCAGGATTTGAGCCTCTCCCGGTCCAGCCTGGTACGGGATGAGTGGTGCTGGTCCTTGTCAGCCAAGCTCAGGAAGCGCCTGTGGGCAGAGCGGGCCGGGTGGATGATTCCCACGGGAACCTTCCTGGGGAGATCCCGCCAGCAGCCGGACATTCCCGGATAGAAACGCTCCCATTCCCACCAATTCCCAGCAAAACTGGGCACAGAGTCAGGAAGGGATGGTAGGTGCCATCAGGTGACACCAGGTGCCACCAGGTGCCACCAGCCTGTGGAGGCTACAGGAAGGAGGTCCCAACCCCGCTTTGGGGTCTTTGGGGTGGAAGCACCACCTTGGCCATACTCCAACTTGAGGGAGCTGCTCCGGCATTGTCCCAATGTCACGTGGGGTTGTCCCGTGATCCCGAGGCCAAGGTAAGGTGAGGCGGTGTAAGAGACCGTAC